GGSAGGTTCAGCAGAATTGCTGATGAACATCTGGCATCTACATGGCCGTGGGAGCAAATACCAGCAATTTCAAAATTTCARAAAGAAATTAGACAAATTAATTAGAAACATGTCCAAAACAGCTACCCTAAAGAGCAGGGGTATACAGTAGGGCCGTGCAGCAGGGATATGCTCTTTATCGTCCGAAAAGAGATCATGAGATGAACATACATGTGTCTGTAYAGAGAAGATAATATTAAGAAGGCAATCCCACAGAAATATTTTCTTTATTGTACTGAAAAAAGTGCCTATGACTGCTGTGTCACCACAGCAAGACAACRTGCTTTATTCCACAGTAGTGGCAGGGTGTCTGGATCTTTCACTCTCCAGRTTGCTTCTTTTCAAGTCCTGGTCCACGGCACCTTTCCTGAGTTGTCACAAAAYACAGAACAACTGCAGTTTTGAGAACAAGCTGAAATATAGCCAAAAGTGACTTTTATTATTATTATATTATTATTATTAATGTTAAAAATGCACTGCACTGACATCTTAATGTAACACTCAATTTGTGACATGCTTCTGTTTACACACCATTCTTTTGGAGGAGTTGTCCAGGAGAGCAGCTCGTGATCCACACCTGAATCATTCATGTAGAACTGCTCAGTTCTAGGAAACCCTTACTGAGCAATGGCTTGAAGGTCCACTGGGAGAGCTTGCCTTTAATTCCAGGCATAAACTGCACCTTTCCTTACCCCAARTATCCCACTCATAATCTGAACTCCTTCTCCTAAGCACACCTCAGAAAGAAAAAAAAAATCTCATTTAAAGATAAAGAAACTGTACTGAGCTTGTGAAATCTTTCTTTTTCATGAGTATTCACCATTTAGGATTATCAAATATGCAAAACACTTAAAGCTGCCCGAGTCCCTAAAAATGTCCCCTAATGCACACCRAGCTTAGTTAAGCAGCTCTCTAAGTGCTCAGCAATGCTGACCTACCAGGGGGAAGGTTATTCTGCCCCTTCACTGAGTGAGCAGTTTCTGAAAACATCCTTAGGAGCACCAGAGCTCCTGCTTCACCTCGCACATTAGTCTGTAGGATCAGACTGAAACTCTTCACAGCAAAAGCCTCTGCAGATTCCCCTTTTCCTACCACAGGCTTCATCTCCTCTCCATAACTCACCTTTTGGTCAAAATTAGTATTGCAGCAACATAGCTGACCTCCTCTGTCCAATCCAGATTTTGCCCATTTTTTGATAAGATGTAAAATATACTAAAAAATCTACCTTTCTAGACTATAAAAAAAAAGAGCACAGACTAGGATAGCTTTGAAAACATCAAATACTACTCACTTTTTGTTGTAAATAAATGATTATAACGGGAAGAACAATGGAAATGGATTTTAATATGAAGGAAAAAGAAAAACAAACCTAGAATAATTAAGAACAAGGATTTAAGAATAAGCCTATTTGCCCAAAGTCAGTAGACACACCAAAAGAGGATAGACAAGTTAGGGGTACAAAAATATTTTTTTCCTCACAGGTTTTTCCGGCTGACAAAGTAAACAATGGAATTAGAGGCACCCTGAAGGGATAACAACAAGCAGAAAGCAGTTTCCAGTTGGCTACGCTAATGCTTTTGATAGCAGTGGCAATAGCTAATGACACCTGGAAGAAATACATCCAACTTTCAGTGTCTGAATAGCTCAGCAAACCAACCTGGAAGCATTAAGTACATTGACAGCAACCCCCAAACGTCTGATGAGGATCTGAAATATTAATGATCCAGCCACAGATACAAAAATTACTGACGAAACTCTCAGAGCTCCCTGCCTGATTCAGCCCGGACTTGAATGAAGGCAACTTAAGCACCCCTGCGATTCAAGCTGCATGCATTATTTAGCAGGAGCTAGACACTTGTTCCTTTCCAGACAGATGCTGTAAGGATTTATAAGAGAGCACCCGTTCCTGCTCCACTTGAGATGTCCTGTTCTCCCTCCAGCCCAAGCCACAGTGGTTTATATTGGCAAAGGGACTCTGTGCCCAGGTTCTCCCCCAGGGAGCAGGGCGATGCCCCACACGAGCTCCCCGTGTGTCTCCAGAGGTCACCACATCTCCCGGGCTTCCTCCCAGGCACAACTTCAAATGCACAAACCCAGGCCACTGATTCTTCACAGCGCTTCTGCACCATTTCTTTTCTGGCAGAATAAAATATCCACACCAACAGTCTTCAGCGTGATCTGTGCAGCTATTAGATAAGCAGTGTTACATCAGACTCTTCAAAATCCTAAATGAATATTCATCCAGAAGGCTGAAGAAGAGCAGAATGAAATGCAAAACCTGAGCTCACGAGGACGGGCACCAGAATCCATGACACATGGAATCAGGGGGAAAAGCAGGCCCTAGAGACAGAACTGCCAGCTGCCTTCATATTCTTCTCCCTACAGCCATTTGCCTCCTCAGCTGCTTTGCTGTGGAGTTTTCTGTACTTCACGAGTACAAAGACAGCCTTGGGGTACATTAGGCAGGCTGATTTTTAATTCAAGTATTTTAAATTTCTCCATTCCTTGATACACCTTTCTACAAAACATTGATGAGTTTTCACTCCTGGGGTATGGTCACAGCCCACACTCAAAGAAATTTTGAGAATGGTTAAAATGTAGAATTCCAAGTCCCTTATTTCAATGAGATCCTCCCCCAGTCCTGCCCCTTCCAAGATACAGGGCATTGAGCGTTGAGATCTCATCTCAACTCTCCAGTAAAACTTCCATCTTAACCCAGGATGTGTGTATGGATTCTGGAAAGAGCAGCTTTGGTGCAGAGCAGGTGATGGTGGCCAGCGACAGCRACACCAACAGCATGAAGCAATCAGGTCAAATGCTTTGATAAAAAAATCTGCCAGAAGGGCAGATTTGGCACAAGATTTCAAAAATGGAAAAAGAGAGAGAGATTAAAAAAGGAAAATAAGAAAATATCACAGGCATAACATTTATGGGACAACGTTGTTTGGGAGACATCCATCCATAAAGATGTCTCCCAAAATGACGTCTTTATTCTACACCCAAACAATACCAAGCACTTAATTATACAGAGGAAGGGAGCTCTGTATAGGCAGCTGCAAAGTGTTTGAGTATCTTTCCTCCAGTCTCCCCCCGACTCCCCTTTTCCCTTTCAGTTTTCACTTGCCACCTGAAAATCTGCAACTTTTCACCTGGATCCAGAGTACTACTAAACTGCAGCCTCAGGGAAGCAAAAGCTGCGTCYGTTACTGAAGAGCTGCCCTACAGAGAATCAAATCAAAGGAGAGATTTAATCCATTTTCCTTCCTGTGGGAGCCCCGGATCACCATCAGGTCACAGGAGGACACTTCATTCATGAGAAGGCACACGCGGCCCGTTCCTATGTGGCACAACCCAGAAAAAAATCCATGTGACCCAGTGGAATCCCCACGTTCCTGCTAAGTGACATTGAGAAGGAATTGTCCAGCCTCCACATCAGAAATATCTGCCACCGAATACTGCACCCTTGCCCACCAAAATGTGCAGAAAACACGACAAATGCACAGGGTTGCTCTAATCTTGTTTTGTGGCAGTCCATTAACAGGGCTCCTATTAAATACTGCATGGGACATCTATAACCTAAAGCCACAGTAAATGCAAAAGCCAAGTGACAGAAGAATATGACCTTTCTCAAAAGCAAAAGGGCGATCTCTTAAAGCTCCCGAATGCACTTATTCCACACAGTATTAGCTTTACCTCAACATATGACAAAAAATCCCCCCAAATATTCCCCTTTAAAACTATGGCTAAGAACAAGAGACGAGGGCTTTTCCCTCCCTCCCACTGCTGCAGTTCRCTGGTAGCACCCATGAGCTCTCCTTGTTCCTACCTTCATCTTCTAGAATACGAACAACCATTTTTGAAAATCAATTTGAGGTCTTTAAACAAGAGCCAATAGYAGTATTTTTTGTTATGACCAGGTATATACTATCATCTAGCACGAGACATGCACAGTCCTTTAGAAAAGGATCTGTACAGACCTACCCTCTCTCACTGACTGGCTTTAAAACATACCTGGATCTGTTCCAGTCTTTTATTACTCTTCTGCAATAATAAAACAATGTTTGATCATTTTAAAAAGCTCAGAGCAGGTGTGCCTACAAACAGAGCGTGATGATTTCAGTGGAAAACAGGAAGAGATGAGCTCTCAAGAAACAAAGACCCTGAGCTCATACTAATAATTTAAAGGAATAAATTAGGAAGAAACACATGCAGATTTCTTCAAACTCGTGTACATTGGAATTAAGTTTCAAAAGCATTGCTTATGAATGAAATTGTGTGGTGGCAAATATGTCCTAACTTGATTACTGGTTAGAGTAGGTTGACAGACTTCACATTCTACATAAACGAGAATAATATATTTTAGATACAACAGAGATTTTCCTGTCAAAAGCTAACTTAGGCATTAGTAGTGCAATATGCACCACGGTGGCAGAGCGTTAGCAAAACCAGAGAGCTGAAACAAGGGCACAGGGCTGCCTTAAGTCAGTTCTTTCAAGCACCTTTGAGTCATCTTTGTAATCCAAATGTGCACTTGTGGCGGGGCAGACCCTGCAATACTGGTCACGTTACTGAAATGCAGAGGCCCTTTTGCAGAGTTTTACTGAAGTTACATTCACTTTGTTTTTGTAACTCGGGTTCGTTTCTAACTGACGTGGCCTTCTTTAGCTTTACTTGGACAACAGCATTTATGCAGGATAGACATCTAAGAAGATCAGGAAACAGATCACAAAACCGTTTTGAGCTAAACATATGCATCAGAAATTATTCTGAAAAATTTTTAAATGGGTTATCTCAGTTGCACTTTGATGAGAACRTAAAGCCAAAGGAGTAGAGACCTGCAGCAAAAAGTTTCTCTAGACATTAAACACCATGCTAAACTGTTTATCATTTCTTCCATATYTAAATCTGCTTCCTGCTATCCTTCACAGTAGCACATTTATCAGTAAGTTTGAAGAACTCACTTTGCAGTGATCATATTGCTGCTGTAAGGTTGGGACATCCCCTCCAATGGGCATTTGGTTTTTCAGTTCTTCATCTTTTGTGTTCAGCCACTTGATTAACTCTTCCAGGGATGTCAGCAGTCTGTTCCATTTCTCTGCACTTGCCTCCAAGTGAGCCCTGCAAAACAACATAAAAGCATTTTTTTAAGCTTTCAGTGTCATAAAAAGAAAGAGATTGAACTAAAAAATAAAACGTTCTAACATTMGTGTAGGAACATTTCAAATATTTAACTGCAAAGAACGTTTGATGTGTTAAAAGAACCTCCATTTCTAAACCCTTTCCACAGAAAGCGAAAATAAGCAGGGCCAGGAAGAAAAACCAGGATAACAAATAGACAAATATGAACCCGCTGTTGGGAACACATTGCACATGTGAGCAACACAAAGTGCTTGCTCTTATTAGGGATCTACCACCTTGCAGTGCACAAAGCACGAGCATCATTTTGTGAGCTAAAGCACCACAAACCTGAGCTCCTCAACGCCAGGACCGGACTTCCCAGCACAGAGAGGCGAGATGCCTCGGGAGGAGCGCACGGTGCTGCTGAAAACCTCGGCAGCCCCTTATTTAACCCGTCCCTTTAGGCGACAAGGAGCTCCTGAGGAGCCAGCGCCGGGCCGGCAAAGTGCTCGGCACCTCCAAACTTCCGCACRCTCATTTCCAGCATATTCACAGTTACCTTGCTTTGGTGGTTTCCCTGCAGCACCATCTTTAGCAAGGTGCGGCTGTCCTATTCCAGTTATTCAGTGCTTTCATGGATTTCATTTGGAGACCAAAACCAAATCAGTACAACGGATTCGTTTTACCACCCAGGTGATGAAGAAGACCTGAGTCTTTTCCAGTGCAGTCTGACACTAGCTCTGCACCTCCCTGTCTGCTTTTGAAGGCTGACTGAGCCACACTTTTCTGTTTTGTCTCCTAGGTTTTCTCTCTCTCTCTTTTTTTTTTTCTGTTTGGCACATCGCTTTTTCTTCTTTTTCTGAACCACTGCAGCTTGCATCTCGACATTTTCAACTGCTCTCTCTGTTTTTATCTGCTGCAATGGCTGTTCCAGTGAATTTTCAGTACTGATCTGACAGAGCTAGCTTGAAAGGGTGCTGCAAGGTTTACTTCRAGGCAAACTTACATTTCAGTAGGCTGGCATTTTTCAGGGATACTGGGATAGATGAAGAAGAAAATAGGCAGTAAGAGTGTAGAAGGGGAAAAAAAGGAGGAAAAAATGCATCTCTGTAAATGAAGTAGCTTCCGAAAGCATGTAGCTTCCGAAAGCATGTAGATAGCTACTTGAGAAAAAAAAAAAATCACACGTCGATGCGAGAAGTGATGCTCTTCTGCATGCAGCTTTCTGCATCAGTGTCTCTGTCTTGCCTTGTTTCTGTCACTAACACCTTTCTCTCTGCTTCTAGCCTTGGTCTAAACACAGCGGAGTCGGAGCCCTGCCTTCCGGCATCGTCTGCACAGCCCTGCTCCACAGCGCCTCAATTCCCAGGTGAAAATGGGCTTTCCCAGCTCTCCTCACCTCTTCTCAGCCCTTCAGTACTCCCTAAACAGAGCTGCTTTCAAGGCAAAGCTTCCGYGCTGTGCTCTTAACCACATCCATCCAGGAAGTCACTGCACGAGGWACTGAACTCCACTGAAAATTTACACCCTTAGCATTCACAGTAATTAGACCCTCCAGCTACCCACAATAAAGCATGGTTATATGACTTCTTTTTTTAAACAAATCACGATTAAAATGTTTATATTCAGAGTTTTGCATACATCTGAAAGTAAAATCTATTCCTCAAGACTTATTAATGTGTCCAGGAAGGGGAAGCAGCTCTCGCCTCTAAAAACTGGCGCGGTCTGAAGCTGCAGGATTCGGTCCCAATTATTTAGCTGAATTCTTGTACACGAAATGAATCAGGGTTTTGATGGGGGAGGAAGGGAACTGTCACTGGTTAGGTGTTTAAAGAACTCTGTAACGGTGGCTCACTGTTAATTTAACATTTCCTGCAATACCGTTAACAGTGAACAAACTAATTTGGCATTAATGTGAAGGATGCAGCACATAATACTAGATTCAGCTCCCTGTAATTTACCCTAATGAGCATCCACGTACACGCCAGATTAATGACGGCAGCAAAACACTAGCTCATCATTGCGAAGCAGACTCCAGGCAGAGAGGGGCTGCAGGAGAGGGAAGGCAGCACAGCCCCCTGCTCTGAGCACAGAGCACCTCCCACGCCACAGAGAAGTTAATGAAGGGGGAACCCAGGATCAGCCTCCTGGGGAACACGGACAGGCACCGAGCAAACCCCGCTCCCAAGAAACGCTGCTGAGGAGGAAGGGCACATGGATATCCTCCAAACTGCATTTCAGTGCAACCTGTTAGCAGCACGGGCACATTGGTGATACAGGCATCATCACAGAGTCAGAGCCAATAAACCATGCCGAAGTTTGAAATGTTTCCTTTTCTTCTTCGCTTTGGAAAAGCCTCTTTCTCGCCCTGTTTAGAAATGGGGGCTTCTATCAACACACAGCCTGCAGGCAAAGCCTCAAGCGCTCGCGTCCGCCTGACAAGTGAACTGCCGATTTTCAGGGACTTGCCGGCTGCAGCGGTGGCCTGAGAATCGATTTCGATCMAAACACAGGGCAGCCCTATGTGATTGTTATGTTTTGAGCACCGGTTGCAGCAGCAGTATCCCCCAGCAGCAGCCTCCCGCATGGAGGAATCCCGGCTGAGTGGGAAAAGGGCCGGCTCTCCCGCAGGCCGGTCAGAGCCGGTGTCCCTCTCCCCATCCCCTCRGGTGCCGGGGCAGGAGGGGCCATGCAGAGCCGCAGCACGGACACGGCTGCCCTGGCGCTGACCCTGGGCCGCATTCCCAGCTGGGACCTCCCCAGCTCTTGCTTCTCCCTATTTAGGCAACACTTTTCCTGCTGAGTGACAAGGGAACACATGGACTAGAAAAGGCTGGTGGGTGGGTGGTCTAATTCTAGAGAATCCTCTGTTTCCTCCCATGCTTTTCCCTTTCTCCGAAGGCAGCGAGCGCCAGCTGCAGTCGCTACACTGCCGCCTCAGAATTAACTACTGCTTGGGTAAATGGCTTCAAGGCCATTTCACTATTAATTTCTCCCAAATTATAGTTTCCCCCATGAAGGGTCAATCAACTGAATTGTTACTGCCAGAAGTTTACACTTGCTGATTAAACTATTAACATAGGAACGGGCTTTAGTCGCTCTCGCGCGTTGATTTACCAGTGAGCAGGGCTCATAAAAGCCCCAATTCAACACTTGTAGGAAGGGCCTTGTGAGGGGCTGGGGCCGCGCTTCCTAAGCTCTGCTGCCCAAGGCCCTGGATCCTGAGCTCCCAGCTCTGCCCGGGGGCTCTGGCTGAGCAGATTCTGCCGGCTGCAATGAAGTGCCCAGCACGKTGGTGACGTGGTTGGTGGAGCTGGAAAGCAGATGTCACAACTTCCCTCCGTGCCAAGCTCTTGTGCCCGAATTCCAAGCTCAACTCATTTTTCTGGCCTTTGGAAAATTAATATGAGAGCTTACCATTTTTCTGCTCTAGTAAAAGTACTATTTCCTTTAATCAACAGGAAGGCAGTAGCAATTAGAAGCTCTACACAGGCTTTTCTGTGTAGTTAACTTTAATGTGGAATTTTATTGACATTAATGAGCATGGTAATATCTGCTTGCAGAATGACATTGTAAAGGTTTTAATAGCATCTACACTTGGACAAACAYCGAGCTTTTCACTTAGCACTGCTCGGGTCAAAAAATTTAAAAGACTTTTTCTGATTAATGTATGCTTTAAAACATTTTTTTAATTGAATAGCTGTCAGAAAAGTCTGCAAGCAATATAGATCTAGACACTTGTGATGCAGTGTTATCAAAGTATTCGTTATAGTGGTAGAAACAAACAAACAACAACAAAAACTCTGATTTCTCCTCGCTAATTTTAACTTCACAGAATTACATCAATGACATGGCTTTTGATATGCAATAAGCAAAGAGCCAACCTACTTTTCTGGAAAATTTGGCACAAATTAGCAAGTTGCAACAGTAGAGCTTTGGAGAGAGCGGAACAAGCAGCTGAGCGTCCACTGTCAGCARGCGCCTCAGGTTAGTGCTCGGGGTCCCTTAGCAGAAAGGCCAGATTTCACCTCAATACTACAGCCAAGCTCCGGGAGCCTTTCCGAAGCTGCAGCCGTGCCCCATTCGGGTGCTGGTGCTCCCACTGCTCACCTGATGTTGGCTGACTTGGCCTTGAGGTCATTCCAGCGCTGGTTCATGTCATCCAGGCGGTGCTGGAGCAGAGCAGCTTCCTCGGAGTTTCCCAAGGCTTTCACCATCTTCTGCCTGTTTCCGTCGATGCTTTTGAAGATGTCATTGTGGGCATCAATCTCAGCCTGGATGTCCTGAAATATCAAGAGGGAAAGCCCAGGTGTTTTAGGTCTGTGTTTAAAGCATGAGAGATGCTATTCCTAGTGCACTTCATAAACCACGAGGCCAGAGCACATCATCATCTTCCTGGTGCAACTTGGAAGAGAGATAAAAGAAAAACCTGTAAAAGAGACACAAAACCCAGCACCCCCTGTTAACTTCCTGTAAAAGGTTCCCTGTTTTTAGAGCATAAGAAAAGGAGCTTGAAAATCATACTCTACTGTGAAACAGCAGTTATAGCCACRAATATGACGTTTTAAAACCACTCGTGGCATTTCATGTCCTCCTGGTTTCCCACGTTTGCAGCCAGGACGGTGTTTGCATGGGCACTAGAAGCCTCCCTGCTCGCAAGCGGCGCACACTCGGCCTCCGCAAGGCTGTTTCCTTCCCCTTTAAACAAACCACTGCAGAAACTTCACACAACTAAGCAAATCACATAGCATGGGGTTTTYTGACATATGCAAATGACTGTTTTTAACTAGAACCTGTGTCCCTAAGCCACAACTAAGTGACCACAGCTAACTCAAAAACTATTTTTACAGTTCAGGAATCCCATACTGATATGTGATATGTATAGCAGCAGACACACGAAGGTCTGCATTTTGTAGAAAAAAAAATGAAAAAAAATGCACTTTCAGTTTCACTTTAAGCTGCTCTTTCTCTGCCTTTTGAAATTCAACCTTTTCTTCTCCCAATCTCATTTCTGCCTTAGTAAGGACATTACCGTAGCTGTTTTGATTTAACCAAGGCTGGTATTATTTTTAAAACATAAGATCCTCAAGCCAAATCTCCTGAATCATTGCCGGTGCTTTCTAGCACCTGTACCTCAGTATCTAACAGGGAAGGAGGAGTATGTGAAGAGGCAGGCGCTGCACTGGCCSGCTCCCTGGGATCTTATTACTTTCAGTTCTGCTTTTTCCATTTTATCTGTTGATACGTTGTCATTATCATAGGCAAAATATTTTCCCCTTTAATGGCCCCAAGCCCGTGTATGGCAGATAAAAACACGATTGATTGAAGAAAACTCCGTATTCCCACCCAAAATTGAAGTGGAATAAACAAGATGCATGTTAAAACATGCAAAAAGTTGCATTACAGAATCACAGGATGGTTGAGGTTGGAAGGGACCTCTAGAGATCATCTACTTCAMAACCCCTGCTCCAGCAGGGACACCTCCAGCATTAGTGCATYTAGACTATGAAAAGTTCTTGACATTTTACTTTAGGTATATAAAGATATAATGCAGAGAAGTTACTTTATTACACAAAATGACTAAGAAGATGTTCCTATCATGTTACAGATTGTATCATCAAGATCCCTTCTACTCTATTCTATCCTAAGCAAAACACAACTTATCCTCTTATGAAAATAGTCTATAACATTTTAAACTAAATAATTTATTTTTAAAATACAATTATATTGCAATGAAGTTGTTCAAATCAGTACACACAGCAACGCTACGGGTTAGGCTCCATGAGGAACCGCGTGGCCCCGGGCAGGATACTCCAGGCCAAGCTGCCAGGACAGTTTTGGCAGGTGCCGGACGCCCGGCGGGTGCCGCAGGGCGGGCGCCTGGAGCAGCCGCGAGGCCCCGCAAGCGTTCCCGAACACCGGCCCCTTCCTTCCACCGACACCACGCGAGGCAGYGGGATCCGGGCGGCGGTAAGGGCGCCGCTCGCTCTCCCCCTCCGCAGGGGAGGACTGCCCGTGGAAGCAGGTGCACAAGCTCCTCCACCGGAACAGCTGGAAAAGGAAACGCCAGTGGCACCCATGGACCGGCTGCGCGCCACTGCCTCCAGCCAGAGCCTCCTTCCTGGGRTCTCATCGCGGCAGCAGGGCAGGGGGAGCCTTTTACAGCAGACTGCAGCTTCCATCCCCAATGGGGTGCGTTCTGCGTGCCGCTGCCAGCCGCCTCGGGCGCCCTGCTGCGCCACACGTGCCCCTCAGCCCGCGCTCCTCCACGGGCACCGGTCGCTTTCTGCCAGCCCCTGAGGAGCAGGCAGGAATTGGGGCGCGAGGCGGGCACGTGAAGGCGCCCGCCGCCACAGGACAGTGGGACCTGCAGCGCGCTCTCCTTTGCCAACGCGAGGGATGGAGGGGGAGGGAAGCTCTTGTAAAAAGAGGCTGTGAAAAGGAATTCTCAGCCTGTGGGGAATGCAGGTTTCCATCTCAGCCAGGGAGCCCCTCCTGGGGCTTCAGGAGACGCGGGCAGCGCCAGCCTTGGGCAGGCTGCCCCACTGCTGCAGCCACAGGCTGCAGGGCAAGGGGCTTCCCCCCGCTCTGCAGAGATGCAGAGCCCTGGCGCAGGGCTGCCCCGCCACAGATCCCCCACCGGCAGAGCCGCCTGTAAGGAACGGCACCAACCCTCCCCTCCCCGCAGGGCCAGGCACGGGCCGCGCTGCCCCTCAGCACAGCCCTTGGGGCTGCAGTGCAAGAAGGAGCACAGCGATTTGCAAGAGCAACTGGGTTTAGATGTGATAGAAACTCAATTACTACTTAGGTTCTTACACAGTTCAGGATGAAAAATACTTTTTTTTTTTTTTTTTTTTTTGGAGGAGGAGGAGGAAGGGGAAGCCTTTGGATATTTTTCACGTCAGATTTTCACACTCTTGTATTACCAAAAGCCCTGCACTGCAGCTCCAAGTTCCCAAAAAGCTGTCTCAACTTGCACTTAAATTGAATGGAAAACACCTTAGCAGGTGGCATACAGTGTGGGTAAGGGCTCTTCTCACCACGACGATGACGATGCACTTAAGGCTGGGAACGAACTGCCCCTGCGGCTCCGTGGCAGGGCAGAGCCTGAACATCTGGAGGGCACCGCAAGCCCGTTAATGCCAACCGCAGCAGGCACAGTGGGACAGAAGAGCAGGATCCCGGAATCACAGACTGGTTGAGGTTGGAAGGGACCCCTAGAGATCACCTAGTCCAACCCTCTGCTCCAGCAGGGACACCCAGAGCACGGGGCACAGGGCGGCATCCAGGCGGGTTTGGGAGACCTCCAGAGAGCTCCAGCGCGGAGCGCGCAGCCCGCCCCAGGGCAACAGGACTCGCTCCGCCTGTGCACGGGCAGGCGGAGCCCTGYAAGCCGCTGCCAAGGCCACCCGGCTCCCGCTCTACAGGCACGGCAACCAGGCTCGTAATTCTCCCCTCACTACACACGTTAATGGATGTAGAGCGCGGGAGCGAGCCGGAGTCGCTGCCATGAGGCTGTTTCTCCTGGCAGCAAACGCCGCGGCGAGGAGGAACAGGATGGGTGTGCGGGAAGTCATGTGAGGGAGGGACAAGGCAGGCGAGAGGGGAACTTGCTCAAAAGAAGAAAAAGAAAATACAGAAAAATTGCTCAATAAGCAGTTTCTGATCAAAGTTCAACAACAAAAGCGTTAACATTCTTCTCCAACACCAGGGCATTCTCCTAAATCATGTTACAGACCTCAACACAACAGGCAAAATGACAGGGAGCTTTAGGCTAAAAGCTACGGCAGTTGGGAGAGCTGTAAGTTGTGCTTTTGTCAGGAATTGCTACAATCAATTCCTTCGACAAGAAATAAGACTCTGGCATATTCAGAATCACAGAGGAGAGCTTGGAATTTGCAAATGCCAGGGCTTTGTATGGCACAAAGCTATTAAAAACACTAGTAGCAGAACTCCTTAACAGCACAGCATTGTGCAACGGCTGCGGCTTCAAGAAATGGGAGGAAAATGAGAAAGGAAAGAAGGCGGCACCCTGTCCCCCAGCAGCTGACCCCATCTTCAGAGACTGAGAGCCGGATTACCGCAGGACGGGGACGCAGCCCGGCTGACGGGCGGGCAGGAGAGGCAGAAAGCGCTTCCCGCTGCGGGCAGCAATTCTGGCCACAGATGTTGCCACCTGCTGCTGCTTCGGGAAAATCCCGGTGGATCGGCTGAACTGCGTCTGTTGYGTACGCTCCTAAAGGTTTCTGCTGCCTGAAAGTACACATTGAAAAACTTCTTTTTTAATCTTAAGCTGTTAGTAAAACCCCATTGTTTACTGACTCRGGCTTTAAATGGCACAGAAGGTTTTTGACAGGGAAGCGTACTCGAAAGCAGCAAGCAAGCAGAGCCTGCAAAACCAAGCGGGAGGGTTGATGTGACTCAGGTCTGCTCCAAAGTGCTGGCAAGTGGATGAAGGCAACGTGCTCGAGAAGTTTCCTGTCTCGATCCCTGTATCTAATCAGGGCAGTYGCTGCCAAGTCAAGGCTCCTGCCTCTCACCACTGCGGCTGCCAAGCCTCCTGGTAAGAGAAGAACCACTAGACTGGAGGAGACAAAAATAGAGGGAAGAAGTGGAGAACTGGCACGCGCCTGGGGAGTAACTCACAAAAAACAGCAGATCTTGCAATCCGATTAAGACACTTTTCAACCAAATGTAACAGCTTATTATAGAGCTCCTTTTTTGTGTAAAGTGATATCACCAGCACTCTGGAAAGCCCCCTGAAAATTATGGCTTGGCAAAAGCCCCGAACTTTCCAACACTTCCAAAGGCCACGATCRGAGTAACTGCTCTGGAAGGAATCCCGTGGAGCTAGGAATGAGCAAGGAGGGAGGCACCACTCTTCCCCACGTGACAGGCTGTCACAGAAGGGTCGCACAAGGACCTTTGCAGCAGCGCTGGGAATAAGACCCCCGTTTTACCACAGCCTGYGCTCTCCACAGCACGTTTTTCCAAAGCAGCCCTGGGCAGGGCCCTCACGGTACCTTCTCAAACGTTGCCAGCAGCTCCYGCAAGCTGAAGGTCAGGCCGATCATGACGAAACGTCCCGCGAAGGCCGCATGTCCCTGGAGCGCCTTCCGAGCCAGGTCGAGAGCCCCCGGGGCGCTGCGTGCAGCGGTGCCTAGGGGCAGGTGTGGGGCGCAGCCCCCCGGCGCCGCGCTCCCGCGGCCCCATGCACATGCCCAGGGGTGGCCGAGGTGGGCGCTACGCGCGCCCCATGGCGCCGTGTTCGCGCGGCCGGGCC